CCCCTCTCCTCCTCCTTGTCTTCCTCCCACCTTCCCTCCCTCCCTCCTCCCTCTTCGCAAGTTCGACTCCGTCCTGTCGTCGCTCTTTGGCATGCGGTTAGCGTTGCGTATCTTGCGGCAGCACTCGCTCACTCTCACTCCACTCTCACTGTCTCACTGTCTCACTGTCTCTCTCTCTCTCTCTCATCTCTCTCATCTCTCTCATCTCTCTCATCTCTCTCATCTCTTTCTCATCTTTCTCATCTCTCTCATCTCTCTCTCCTCTCTCTCTCTCTCTCTCCTCTCTGTCTCTCGTCTTTCCGTCTCTCTTCTCTCTCTTCTCTCGCAGGAGGATCCGGGCAAAGAGCCACATATAAAGGACTCTTCACCCCTGCCTCCAAAAAGAGCGCCGTGTTTTTTCCTACCTCGCTGCCCTCCACTTTCCCATTCTGGAGCGCTAGCTTTCGCCCCCCCCTTGGCCTCAAGTCGGAGGAATCGGATCTATTGATTTTTTTTAAATATATATATATATATATTTCTTTTAAGGGGGAGGCCGTAGAGGGAGGTAGCAGCTAGAGGTAGCTAGGTAGCTAGTAGCTTACTTAAGCTATTAGTATGGACGCAGGATAGCTCACGCTTCTATTCATTTGGTTCCTAGATTTTTAGGGAAACTGCTCACTTGACTAATTTACACTAATTTATTGTCGCTATGCACATGCGAATTGCACACAATCAGGACAGATATGTACAGTATGAACCAAGAACATCCAAGAACACAATATACATATATACATATACATACTATTTGTTCCCCAAGGGGGCATTGAGGCGATTGCTTGAGCTTTGGACGCTGGGGAACCAGACCTATGGCAGGCAAGATGAGTTGCCGTCATCTGAGAGGGTGAGGCGCAGAGTTTGTAGGATGGATTGGACTGCCTGGCAAGCTACTTCACCGCATCACCCTTTGCTAGTCATAGGAACAAGTTTGGGTGTATCTAACAAACCAGTCGTGGGCTGTGTGGTACTGTACAAGGTTCTGTGCTGCCGTGAATATGTGGGTTTGTACGCATGTACAATCTCGACCGCCAAGACCAAAATTCTTCCATGGGCATCCTACAATATAGACACATATTGATCGACAGCTTGAACACTAGCGATGCTGTTTTCCACAGGCTGGACCTAATTGGAGCTGCGAACGATGCCAGGCAGTTGCGGAGTCGCATTGCCTCCCTAAGAGCCCAGATGGTCAAACAGCGCCGGGAGATTGATGCTCTGACAAAGGACCGAACTGCCGTGGATGTGCCGATGAAACTCTAGACGGAGGGGAGCCTTGCCTTGTGGGCAATACCTTTTTCCAAGGTCACTTTTTGCATCACAGAGGTTTTGGCCAGGTCAGAGCCACTTAAATGCCCTGGTCATCCTTGCTGCCCAGCCAACTGAGACAACAAATATATATATATATATTCATTCATTCAAGGTAGGCAGGGTCGGTGATGAGGAAATATTTGTGAAGCTTCAAGTCAATGTCTCCCACGTTGCTTGGCTGCTCAAGCCAAAACTGGGAGACTCCCTTGAGGTGCAGTGCCACTGCAGACACCTCAAGATAAAAGTTTTTCATCCTTTGCTGCAATGTCGCTTTACAACTTGAAGGCGCGGTGT